TCAGATGCACCATTTAGCGTTGAATAAGAGACGTCATTTGCACAACAAATACTTATTAAACAAAATGCCAACTTCTCAGCTATTTTGCATAAATCAACAGGTTGTCAGTCTATACCTTTTTGTCAACATAATCATGTTCAATCTTATGCTGAAATTTATTATGTAATTGGAACATGCAAAGCAAAATTAATCTAAGTTTCTAAGTTAAAAATAATTCTTGTACATCTACTTCCAACTCGTAAGGTAATACTACCTGTAATTATCAAGTGATTTGAACCATTGAACTGAAAATTATCCATTACGAAAACTATTTTTTAAAAAGAAAAAAATGTGTGGTTAAAAATTTTCATTCGATTGAAACGTAAAAAAGAATGATTTTGTGAAGAAATGTTACAAAGTCTTAAGACCATATAAAACATTAAGAACTCTTTAAATTGTCATATTTGTTTCATCAAACGTTTGTTGAGGTAAAATAGAATTAATATTTGTCTGAAACTCTTAGATATTGAGCATTGTTTTTATACGAATGAGTTATTGATGTTAACAGTTCAGATAAAAACATTAAATGCAAACGTATACTTAATTGTTATTGTATGTAAAGAAGTTGTATGCCACTTTATATATAAATACATGTAGTAATTGAAGCACAGTAGTTCATTGAAACACCGTATCAAGATCTGTAGCATCTTTGAACATTTGTGAGCTTTGAGTTGTGTCTCATATTTTTCATTTTTTTTAAAACAAAACATCAAGTAATGCTGTTCTTAGAAAAGTAAAATACATAGGTTTATTCTTTTTTATGTTACAGAGAAAGGAACTCATTGTTGATGTTGTTTTTCAAAGCTTAAGCAGTTACATCTTTCAAACATTTTTGTGTGTTTTGTAAGTCAAATTATGTTCAACATGCTGTTTGTCTGCAAGCTACAGGTATTCAGAATTGAATTTGGAATGAATTAATGATATAATAAACGAAACCAAAAGTAAATCTGAATTCCAAATATTTTATATTGTACAGTCTTATTGTAAAAATAGCATATCATATGATAAAAAGTTTGCTATTTTATGTGGTAAATATCAATACAAGGACGATGTTTCTAAATTTTGTTTTCGTTTTGTTTACCTCAATGTGATACATTTACAAAATCAGTAAGATCTTATTTTTTTTGTTCATTTGCAAGGCTCACTATTTCATGTAAATGGTCATAATATAATGAAGCCCGAGATCTATTTCATCCTTAAATTGCCTGTTCGTGGCTATTCACACTTCGCCGCATTGTTTGGATTTCTATTATTGACTTTTAAGACTAAATTTACTGTTTTGATCCTGATCACATTCCATGCTCTGTGGTGCCTAAATAAATGTGGATTCAGACTATTCGTTAAAGAATTCAATTTCTAGTTACCTCTAAATTTAATATAATTTCAGTATAAAACAGTTCAAAAGTCGTTATTTCACACTGTTGTAACTCCTAAATGTAATGATATTTTAGGGTCACATTGCTGTAACTGAATACAGCATTCTGGTTCTTGTATTTTTGTCAATAAAATTTATTTTTCAGTGATTTTTCATTTTTTTTATTTTGATTTTCAAAAAAACTATCTACAGGAACTTCTTCGTAATTAAAAGTTTAAAAGTTAAAATAATTCTGCATACTATGATATATTTTATATTAAAATTGGTTGAGTTAGTGTGAAGATATAGCCTGTTAAAACTTTGAAGTCGATTTTCTCAAAATGGTAAAATACGACTTACATCAATATGGAATTAGGGTGCGATATATTTGAGCCGGGTCACGATAAAACCAACATAATAGGTTTGCGACCAGCATTGATCCAGACCAGCCTGCGCATCTGTTCGCTAACAGTGTCTCTACTTGTTATACGGTTTGTACGTGAACGGCATGGATCCTGATCAGACTGCACGGATATGCCACTATGTTGGTTTTGTCGTGACGCGGCTCATTTAACTTTTAACATGTAAACACTGAACTGGATCGGGAAACAAGGATTGACAATTTTATTAAGATTGCTTAAATAATAATTGTAACTGTTTTTTATTGTACATAATAGGAATATTGCTATAATCATTGTATTCTCTTTGTTTGATTGGACTGGTTGAAATTCATAGAAATCCCTAATCAAGGTATCATTATTTAACAAAACATATATTTATTAAATATCACAAGTAATAACAATACATCAATATGACTGTCAGACAGATCTTGAAACAAAATAAAGGGCTATAAAAGCCCAGGCCACATACAAAAATAGTAGTCTATGCTTTGATAATGAGCTGACAGATAGGGGAATTTTGTAAAGGGTGGCTAATAGCCTGTCTGTTGTGATTACATGTCTAAAAAGTACATCATGGTATATTTTAGCCACCATAGAATTTATCTAGAAAAAAAATCTAGCTATTTTTATTTGTACAAAAATATAGAAATAGTACAATGTATAATTAGTAAAATGTTCACTATACATGTACAAATAATGAAACTATTAACAAATGTCGGTACAGCCGCGGTACGGTATTTATAATAGAGGGTCACGGGTTCGAGTCCATGTCAGGATGCACTTTTTTCTCAACCTGTGACTGATATAACATTTGTATAGCCCAGGTAGAAATTAAATCACAATGCTAAGTAACCCTGGGAAATTCGAAGAAATATGTGCATACACAGTAGGTTTATAACGATTCAGTATTTTAACAAGTAAAACGTGTAATTAAGCGGCCGAATAGCTCGGAGGAACTCAAGAGCCGCAGAATGGTATTCCGAGTGTCAGGGGTTCGAGTCCCTGCCAAGCTGTTACATATCAATATAAATCTGTCAAGAAAAATAGGGAGGAACTGTCTAAAATAATTATCACCCTAAATAGGATTCAGATCAGGTTCGGACAGTCTTTGATGAAAAGTCAGAAGATGAACTTGTAAAGGGGGTGGGGTGCTAGTCTGATTACCATCATTTGATGTCTGACGAACCTCATATCTAATATATATTGGTACGCAATTATAAACACCTGTTTGCTGAATTTAATATCAAAAATGTTGCAATTAATTAGTAACTAAATCTTATATGCGTATGTAAACTAGGATTAAAACTAATTAATCTTCGGCGTAAAGCATGTAGAAATCTTCACCGCGAGGTCACAAAATTTAAAACTTTAATGTAAACATCACAATAATACTTCTTTATATAATATTTCTATTCTTTGACAGGGACACAGAACATCTCTTACATGTTTAAGAAACAAGAAATTTACATAATATATCTATCTAAGATATTCTTTTACTTCTGAATAGTAACAGACGCAAAACACAGTACTTAAGCGCTTAGACGAACGCAGATGCACGCTAAATAAGAAACGCACGCTTTCAGACGCACGATAAACGAAAAACGATACACGGAAAACGAAAAACGTTAAACGCTTGAAAACGATGCACGCTTGAGAAAGCGTTTCAGCAAACGCACGTTGCACGCTATACGCACGCACGTTACACGAAAAACGGACGCACGAAAAACGCTATTTTTGACAACCGAAACGTTCACCCTACTGTATGTATACCATATCACGTCGGCCTTGAGGCGGGTGTGTAATAATATGGTGTGCCGTAGAATTCGGGTGAGAATCTCTTTACCCCTGTTGCCGACCTAGCTTATTGCAATTCATAATAAGTACATGTATTCATTAAGTAATTAATGCATAATGTCATTATAGTTATCGATTAAAAATTGAACTGAATGAAACTGAATGTTTATTTATTATTTAATTAATTCAGAGTGGAATAAGAGGTTAATACACAGCAGATTAGGGTCAGAATATCTTTATCAAGCAACCCCCCCCCCCCCCCCCAATGAAATAATGCCCTTGTTTTTCGAAAAGTGAATGATGACCCGCGGGCATTATTCATTTTAGGGTGGATTATCGCTATTTAGCTTGTCCCAGATATGCATTAATGTGTAAAATACATTTGATAGTAACACTGATATTAATAGGTTCTACATTAATATTTATGTTTTCACCTATTACAAAGTGACAAGGTTAGCATTTGTGCTCACAATTTGTCTGGCGTCCAGCTGTCATCCATTCATAAATTTTTACTTTAAACAACATCTTCTCATATACCGCTAAGCCAATTTCATCCAAACTTCACAGGAATGTTCCTTTGGTAGTCACCTTTTAAAATTGTTCGAAGAATTTAATTCCATGCAGAACTCCCTTTCCTTATATGTATATAGTAAAAAGAACAAAAAAAACTTCTTTTTTAAAACCCAAAGAGTTAGAGCTTAGATATTTGGCATGAAACATCTTCAAATGTGTAATTGTTTTGTTTGCTTGTTTATGGTTTATTATATGTATGTGAGTCACTCATTAGTGTGTTAACAGATTAATGTTAAGAGGATAATTTTTGTTTGAGTGAAATATGGAATATATTTTCACGAAACATGAAAAAATGCCACATATTTTCACGAGCCTGGACGGCGAGTGAAAATATGTGGCATTTTATCATGTTTCGTGAAAATATATACAATATTTCACGAAAAACGAAAAAATAACCTTCTTATTTAATTTCATTATCAAAGAAAAATGGTTTGCTACGCAACTGCAATTGTACAGTTCACAGTAATATAATTATTGTCTTGTTTTGCACGTGATATTTATATAGCGCTACATTGTGACGTCACGTAAACAACTCTTTAAACGTCTGTAAAGTGCTAATAACTGAATTAAAGATATTGGTGTTCGGATTAATTTTCTTAGACCATTTTCTATCATTCTAGATAGTTTTCAAAACAAAATTCAACGAAAAGATTTTTGTATTTATCAGATTTTTCAAACAAAATGGCGAAAGACGTCGTTTAAAATAAATATGAGTTTTGACTCTGCCCACTTTCATATTTATATTTCATATTTATTTCTAAAAATATGAAATATATTTGACTGATATATCACCATATTTCATGGGTAAAATTAAATCATATACAATATTATAATTTTAGAATGGCAGAAAGAGACGATAGCATCATACTGTAAGAATTTGCTAAAAGTACCAGCAATGCCTTTACTACCACGAGGTCAGAAATGTGACTTCAGTGAGATTTATGTTAGACCCACTATAACAAGAGAAATAAAAGGAGAGAAAGGGGAGATTGAGGAGATTGAGGTCACGTCAATGTCAGAAATCTTCATAAAGAATGGTGTGCCTTTAAAACATATATATGTTCTTGGAGATGCAGGGTCTGGTAAGAGTAGTTTTTGTAAATATTTGGTCAACTGTTGGTGTTTGGCACACAGTGATGAACAAAATGTAGAAGATGATTTTGATGCGGTTAAGGAAATGAAGAAATTTGATTTCATGTTTTATATCTCGCTTAGACATAATCAAGACATAGACAGTGTCCAGGATATGATTAAAAATCAGTATGATATTGACATTTCTAGCCCAATTCACAAAAAGGACTCTGCAAAGATCATAATATTGCTTGATGGCTTAGATGAATGGTCTTCTGAAAGAAAGTCGTACAATCAGTTCCAGGCAATGGGTCTCCCTAAACAGGATGTTAATAAAGACTATACAATTGTAACTACATCACGGCCATGGAAAGTTCACACCTTGGGAATAAGTGAGACAGAAATTGAACAGTTACTGAATCTAAAAGGATTTGATTGGAGATGTGAAAAGGAAATGGTAGGAAGAACTGTCTCGCAGTTAAATTCCAGCAGGCATGCTAGTAAAGATGCCAGTGCTTGTAAACAAAAGCTAAAAGAAGAGTCTCTGAAAAGTTTAAAACAGCTACCAATAATGCTACAACAACTGATATGTCTATGGTTTGATGGTAAACTCGATAAAACCTCAAGATGTGCCATCTACACCGGTATGTTAGAATTATTCTTTACATGGAATGACATGAAAACTACAGGAACAAGTACTCCACTTATGAAGGGTGCTCAGAAAGTAGATCTTCCTAAATACTTAGTCGATAAAATCATATTAAAATTAAACAGCCATTTCATTTATGAAGTGTCAAAGTTGGCTTATGAGACACTATTTAATTGTCCAAAGGATAAATCCTTGACATTTGACATTTGTATGTTTGATGAACTAGAAATATCAGCTGAAGTAAGAGAAAATTGCTTGAAACTTGGAATAATTACAGAAGATGAATGTCCAAATTTTTCTGTATCAGAACCACCAAGGTCATTGTTCTCTTTTATTCACAAATCAATGCAAGAATTTCTGGCTGCAGTGAATGTTGGTATAAATTTCAATGCCAAAATTTGTTCATCAGATTGTACAGAAAATGATGAATTAGCCAAAAAGTTTATTAATGAGGTTTTTCAGAAATGTTCAGCAGTAAATGACATATTAGAACAGTCAAATGTTATCATTATGCTATGTGGTCTTGAATCTAGATTAGCAACGCATGTTTCAAAATACATATATGATACTATGTCAGAAGACTCTCGTGTTCAGGAATACAGGAGAACAATAAGAAGTGACATTTATAGGGATCTTCGTTGTATTACTGATATTCAAAAGCTTATGTTTGAGTCAATGAAAGAATTAAATGCATCATTTAGTATAGGAAGCAATCCTGTATTTTATATAGGAGATTTGGTCATTTATAATTGGGAGAATCTTGAAAGTGTTTGTTCAAGTATTGATCAGAAACAAATTGTTCCTGACTCTGTTCTGTCTATTAATTTAGATAACGTGAACACAGAAAATGTTAAATTTACAAAATATTTACCAATGTTTCATCGTCTTGAAAAAATTGCATTAACATACATGTATTCATTTTAAATTAAAATGTTATAGTTCAAAAGGATTTTGAGATTAACAAATTTTGTTTGTGAGACCCTTTTAAAAAATAAATTTTTTCAACTTAAAAATTCTGTGTTTGATTGATCACACAGGGGTTTTTCCCCGTGTATACAAAAATTTTAGTTACGTACCCACTAATTTTTGTAGCAAAAGATGAGTTTTTAACAAGTCATGATGTTTTAATACATTTTGTAATTTTTGGGGAAATCCTCTTGAAAAATGATTTTGGAGTTAAATGTAATGTGGGAACCAGCTAGTAAATTTTTAAAAACACTTCAGTTCTGAATGTGAATGGTTGTTAGGTGTTAGATGCTGATTAAAATTGAATTTTAGTTGAAAAAATGGAAAATTTATCTGAAATTTTTTTATTTTTAGAAAATTAAAATTTTAAAAAACTTAAAAATTTTAGGGGAATTGCTAAATTAAATTAATTCATCCAACATAAAGAGAGACTAGTAACATATTACCGAAGTTTACATCATCTCAGTAAGTTGAGTTATGGTATTGTAGGTTACTGAATGTTTAAAAGTTACTTTAGAGATGAAGAGTTTAAAGAACATTAAGCTTCAGTATGTAATAATGAATTTTCAAACATGGGCAGAAGTTTTGTTGATAGTCTTCCTCACATTCCTCATACTGTAGATATGAGTGTATGGCGCTGTTTATAACAGGAGATGGTGAGGCGTTTAATGATTTTAGGTCAACATTGATATTACATGAAGGAGGGAAGATAAATGATGCTAAACAGTATGTAAAAGACCAGGATCAGTTATTTCATGTTAAACGTGATGTTGATGATTGTTGGTTTGACTTTTCAACACAAAAGTGATAAAAGTATCCATTTAGTTACATAGTGTTTAAACACTAATTGCTGTTTTTTTCTCACATTTTCAACAAAGGAAAACGGTTTGAACTTTTAACATAGTGAGATAAAATACATGCAGTTTACAAAGTGTTTGAACTGAATTATTTTAAGTAAAAAGGCACTATTTTTTTTTTTTTTCATCAAAAAGTGAAACCTATGACAAGTTATTGATATATATTGTTGTAAAGTTAGAGGATGAATATAATGCATTATGATAACAATCATCAGAAATCAATTTTTTATTAAATATTGATTTCTGGTCATTGTTACAAAACATTAATAATATTGAAATTGCAGAAAGTAATATTTAAAATGTGTTTATTAATAAATAAATGAAAGAAAGACAGTGAAATTAATACGAGAATAGATATATTAACCTTAATGAAGGTAAATGTTCTTTTCTAAAGATCAGGAATAGTTTGTGAAAAAAAAATCTGATTTGAAAAAGTAATGTTCTAATTATAAATGTATAAATAGATATATAAATTAACAAGTAAATAGTAATGAATAAGTAAATTTAATGAAAATATCATACCACAGATGTTTAATGTACAAGGTAAGAAGAAGTAAAAGATTAATATAACATTCAAATATCAGCTATATGATATATAGGACAGTTGAATGTTATTAATAAATACTAGTTATATCATAGATAAGACAAGGGAATGGTATATATACATACAAGTTATATGATATATAGGTCAAGTAATGGTATATATAAATACAAGTTATATGATAAATAGGACAATGAAATGGTATATATTAGTACCAAATATATGTTATATAATTTTATGACATTTTTTAAGGAATGGTTAAAAGTTATATGGTATGTAGAAAAGGGAATGTTATATGTAAATACCATTATATGATAAATATGTCAAGAGAATGGTATATATCAATACAAGGTATATGATATATAGGACAAATGATTAGTATATGTAAATACCGGTTATATGATATAAAGAACAAGGGAATGGTATATATGACTACCAGTTATATGTTATATAGGACAAGGAATTGTATAATAAATACCAGTTATATGAGATAAATAGTTAAGGGGAACAGTATATGTTATTACCAGTGATATGATATCTATGGTAAATATATGATGTAGAGGAATAGTTAATTTTATATATGAATACCTGTTAGATGATATATAGGACAAGTAAATGGTATACATATTTTTCTCATTGAGATTGGGATCATCATCATATATACAACGGAGCTCCGAAAATAGATAATAGTTAGATTCAGACCCACAATCCTTTGCCCGCTTAGGTGATAATCAGGTTTTCCCACTAGTCTCTGATTTTCATGCTCTTGTTAAACTTTGGCAAATTATTGTTTACATTGCCGACATGGATTTTCATCAGAGAAATATTGGTATTGAAAAGTTTGTATTGAGTGTACGTTTTACGATAAATAAGTATTGTTTCTTTTAGAAGTAGAAAAAAGTGAAACTTTTGCTGTTTGTGTTAGAATGATTTTAACACAAAGCAATTATAGATATACCTTGCTGTAAATTTAGATGAACTAGTATGTACTGTTAATACATAGACATTTTAACATATTTTTTAATCAAAGCAAGTTATACACCATAGATGTAAATATGATTTCATTATACCTTCATACGTATCCTTAATAGAAATGTACAATTGAGTTAAAAATATACATGGCTGTCAGGTGCAAGTGCTTATTTGACTCTTCGATTGGCTTTATTGCCTCTGGGTTACACCTCAAGGATATATATCAGTTCTCAGCTGCCCCTCGGGGATATATACAAGTTCGCAGGTGCTCTTCAAGATATATACCAGCTCTCAGCTCCCCCTCAGGAATATATACCAGTTCTCAGCTGTCCCTCAGGGATATATACTGGTTCTATGCTGCCCCTACGTGATATATACCAGTTCTCAGCTGCCCTTCAAGATAAATACCCGTTCACAGGTACACCTCGGGGATACAAACAAGTTCTTAGCGACCCCTCAGATATAAATGTATACCAGTTAACTGCATTTGGTGGATATATACCAGTTCTTGGCTTCCCCCTTAGGGATATAATACCAGTTGTCTGTTACACCTCATGTATATATACCAGTTCTAAGCTGCCCCTAAGTAAGATATACCAGTTCTCAGCTGCCTTCCAGATATATACCAGTTCTCAGCTGCCTCTGATATATATATATTACCAGTTCTCACCTCCTCTTGGTGGATAAATACAGTTGTTGGCTCCCCCCCCTCAGGGATATATAACCTGTTGTCGGCTACACCTCCGGGATATATACCAGTTCTAAGCTGCCCCTCAGAAATATTTACCTGTTCTCAGCTACACCACAGGGATATATACCTGTTCTTGTCTGCCTTGGGGAATATATGTTAGTTCTTGGTTGGGAATGTATTCCTAGGTCTCGGCATAAGTCAGTTCTCAGTTGCCCCTCAGGGATATGTACAAGACTCAGTTATACATGAGGGAGATATACCAGCTCTCGGATGCCAATATGCTCTTTTACACAGACAGCCATATTTTATAAGTTTATATACTATAAATGTTCAAAGATAATTTATACGGTTATTTAAATTTATTTAGTTAAACAATTTGTCATATTTTAGTACCAAGACATTATAACATTATAGGCGGGGCATATAGTCGCCGCCTTGTCCGTCCGTCTGTCTTTCCGTCCGTCCGTCCCCTTTTCTTGTCCGGGACATAACTTTGAAACAACAAGAGGTATCAACATGAAACTTTGTAGGTAGATAGATCTCATTGAGTAGGTGTGCAGTGCTTAAGAACCGTAACTCTGCCTTGCCTAACTTTTGAATTATTCCCCTTTGTTTATTTTACACTTTGAACTTTGTCCGGGACATAACTCTAAAAGTATAAGAGGTATCAACATGAAACTTTGTAGGTAGATATATAGATCTCATTGAGTAGGTGTGCAGTGCACAAGAACTGTAACTCTGCCTTGTCTAATTTTTGAATTATCCCCCTTTGTTTAATTTACACTTTGAACTTTGTCCGGGACATAACTCTAAAAGTATAAGAGGTATCAACATGAAACTTTGTAGGTAGATAGATCTCATTGAGTAGGTGTGCAGTGAACAAGAACCTTAACTCTGCCTTGCCTCATTTTTGAATTATCCCCCTTTGTTTATTTTTACACTTTGACCTTTGTCCGGGACATTACTCTTAATGTATAAGAGATATCAACATGAAACTTTGTAGGTAGATAGATCTCATTGAGTAAGTTTGTAGTGCACAAGAACTGTAACACTGTCTTGCCTACTTTTGGAGTTATTGCCCTTTGTTCATTTTGACACTTTGAACTTTGTCTGGGACATTTATAATACTCTAAAATTATAAGAGATATCAACATGAATCTTTGTAGATAGATAGGTCTCATTGGGTGGAAGTGCAGTGCTTAAGAATCATTACTCTGCCTTGCCTTATTTTGAAGTAATTGCCCTTTGCTTATTTTTACTTTTTGACTTTTGTCCTGGACATAACTTTAAAACTATTAGAGATATCAACATGAAACTTTGTAGGTAGCTAGATATAATTGGATAGAATTGCAATGCTTTAAGAACCTAAACAAAGCCTGGTCTAATTTTAGAGTTATTGCCCTTTGTTTATTTTTACACTTTTACCCGGGACATAACTCTGATATCATCAGGAAACTTTATAGATAGATAGATCTCATTGAATAGAAGTGCAGTGCAAAAAAACATAACTCCGCTTTGCCTAATTTTTTAGTTTTTGCCCTTTGTTCATTTTTTTTATACTTTCCTGTGTCCAGAACCTTCTCGGGGAGCATCACCCGGTTCAACCGGATCTTGTTTATGCTTGCTGATGTTAGTATATACCAAGATTAAGATATTATGTTAAATGTAAACATATGTTACACATGTCTGTTTGTTACATGAAATTCTGAATGAATGTGTATAGTACATATGTAAACATATTATTACATGTTAATAAAATTAATGTGTACTGTATAGTTACAAGCTATTGCAATCCTTTTATGAAAATAAGATTATACATGTATTACATGTATTTTATAACAAGAAATGTTTTGTAACATGTAACCATGCCTACATTTAAAACTGCTGTACCTGTTTGTTTTGAA